CGAAATGAAAGAAATGAATATATCTGTGATAGGGTTGGTGTAGCTCCTGTGACGGGCAATATTAAAGAAAGTCGTCTTAGATGGTTTGGTCAAATTAAACGTCAACCATCTGATGATCCGATTAGAAGAGTAGATGTTAGATTAGATTCGACTTGTGTTAAGAAAGGCAGAGGTAGACCTAGGAAGACTTGGGCTTATTGTATTAAAAATGATCTTAACTTACTAGAACTAAATGAAAATATGACACTAAATAGGACGCAATGGAGAAAAAGGATTCATGTAGCCGACCCCACGTAGTGGGATTAAGGCTTTTTTGTTGTTGTTGTTGTTGTTGTACTCAACTAAAGAAAACCCTTTTAAAACATAGAAATCAATCCCACATAATCAATTATGTATACAGGCTAGGTCAAGATATTGTTTTCTTCAAGTGAGTAATCAAACAGTATTTAAGGGCATTTAAGAATTTAGTAATGAAAACCCTCATCATTTAGAGATATACGGTTGAACTCCTGCCAGTACCCCATTTTTTTCACCTTAAACAACATCAATTGTGGAAATTACTAGGATAGATATGGAGAAGTAGTTAGAAGTTACCAATGATCTATTTGAGACAGCTTTCTAATTGCTTGACATTTCAAACTGCCACCACAGATCCATAAATACTTATTTCTATTTTCTAGAAATTTTTATGATGAAAAGTTATTTTTTCTCAACCTGACCTGCTAAAGTACGGTGACTGTAAAAAAATTGTTGTCTGATTTTTTGGGGGCAAAAAATATATTTATAATTCCCTCTGCAGGTTTTATAGGAACTCAATTTCTCCACAATTATATTGTAGCTATCCAATCAGTATTCTACTTAACCGTGGATGAAAAGGTAGTTTTGGATGATAAAGATTTGTTTAAACATAAAATTTATAATTACAGGCTTCTACATTCATAAGTTCAAATCTTATAGCCTTCATTTTACCCTAAAGGAAGTTCTGTAACTCTCATTTCCGAGAGCAAGATGAGAGCTGGAGCAGGAGCTGACCAAAGGGAAAAAGGGAAGGAAGGATGAGGAACGGAAGATGAAGAAGAAAAAAAAAAGGAGAGAATGAGAGAGAGAGAGAAAGAGAGAAGGAAGGGCAAAGAAAGGAAGAAAGAGAAGGTTAGTCAAGTTAAAAAATTGATTTTTTTTTTTTTTCATCAATTTTTTTTTTGGTATGGCTTTGGTATGGCTCTCTAATATAAGAACTTCAACAAGATGGCTATGTATTGAGGCTTGAATGATAAGCAGCAATTTTGAGTTAGCCGTGAATTTTAAAGTTAGCTCAATTTAAAAGAGAGTTTACCTGAAAATCCGAAAATTTTAAGTTTTTTATGAAAGGAATTCGGAGTGTTCAATTGAAGATGGTTGATTGGAAATTAAGACAAACGAATGTTAATTGAGGATATAAATTTTCCTCAGTCCTTTTTGCATATGTATTTACACGTAAATTAGACTTATAGGTGCAATACAATAGAAACTCCTTATATCATAAAATACATTTTCATTACTTACTACTCATGGGTAAATGATCATACCTAAATTTAGAGTATACAAGCTCTCAACTAAATATATTATAATTATACAGATACTTTGGTAATTGGCAGCACTTTTAAATAAAAGGCATCCGCTACATATAAATTGTCCATTTATGTATAAACATTATTCAACATATTTTAAAAATGAATCACATGTTTGCTTAAATTTTCAATAATAAGAATATGTTGAACTTAAAATATCTCTTCTGAGAGATAAATTGGCAAATGACATATTTATGATACTTGTATATGTTGGTAAAAGGGTTATAGAGAAAAAATTTTCAAGATAGTTCAGAAGTAAGAAAGAAGGAATTCACTTGGGCTTTATAGAAATTATTGATGTAGCCTTCGAGTTGAGTTTACATCCTATCTTATGTGACGTTTGTCTACAACTCACCAACTTGTGATGGCTAATAAACCTAAAAAATCATACATAAAAAATTCTCATGCTAAAGTGAAATACAATGTCTTATAAAGTAAGCAAAAGAATGAATTAACAAATATAAACTAATGTGTAAATAATTAAACCTTGGATTGATATAATATACTAAAAAAATTATGATAACCAAGCTTTAATATCAAATGATATAGTAACGTACAAGTTAAAATATGTTTAGTTTATAATTATGTCCAGCATAATTAATATACATGTTGTTTACTATTCGTGAGTATTTGACATATGGATTAAAACTGTCCATCTTGTTGAGCCTCATAGCTCATAAAATCATCATTGTTGAGCCTCATAGCTCATAAAATCATCACTCTTGTTATTTTCAAAAACATGAAAAGATAGATTTGAGGCCGAGTACGAATCAAGAATTTTGTTATAACATTTTGATATATAGAATTATAAAATAAAAAAATACTGAGGTAAAATATCAAATAAAGTATAATATTTTATATAAAAATACCGAGTTTTATTATATGCTCTGCAGATATACAATTGAAATATCTTGGATTATTGTAGCTTGATTTGACTTGTTTAAATTTGAAGGATATAGGTGACTTGCAATGATGCATTATGTGTAATTTCAAATGCATTTGGGTGATTTAGCTCTTCATGCGCTATATTATGGAAGATGGGTTACTAGAATGAGTGTTATATTTAATTGGCTAAACCATATCTGCATCTAGTATGTCCCAAATTAATTGATGGTGTTGCCGTGGGGCGTGAAATAATCTATTCCTATAAATTCAGTTGACAACACATCAAGACTCATTCTGAGCCATGAGTGGGGCAGTGTAACATTACTCAGCATCCTAAATAATAATTCAACAAAATTTCTTTTATTATCTAAAACTAAATCAAATCAAGCTTAAGTAATAAACGATTTCAAGCATTGGAGTGAACAACAAACCTACATGAATGGTATTCTCGAAAATATTTTATGTGATGATTTATAACTTCCATCATAATTACTAGAAAATAAGAAACACTTTCGCCCATATCATCTAAAAGAAATCATGTTGACCAGAAGTATATATCATTAACATACAGTATTATAGTAATATATTAACAGGACATGAACAGGATAATATTCATGCAAACCAAAACTGAGCGAATAAATTATGAAGAGAATATAATCTGCATTTCATGTCAAGTGGATAACTTGAGATAAATGTGATCATTCTAATGAGCCCAAAGTTAAGGAAACTTGATAATGACAAAGAGATGCAATTAAGTTACCAGGCCTGTTAACTTGGGAATCCCAATTATAACAGGTTTAAGATGTTCTGTCTGCGGGCTCTTCAGATTGTCAGGCGATTCTGCATAGTTAGTGATTTCCTGCCCCCCAATCTCAGTTGAATTCAACTGAGAGTCCCTCTTCCTATGTTCTACTTCCTTTGGAGGTGCTTTTGAATTTTCCTTTTTGGGTACCCATCTCCTCTCTTCATATCTAGCAATGAATACTTTCTAGAGAATAAAAATCTTGCTATAAATCTGGAGTCCATAAAATTTCAAGAAAATGATAACAAAAAAAAAATACTTTGCACGTATGAAGTTTTCAATTCCAACTCTGTCATAATTAGGAGGCAGCTCAGCTTCCCAGTAACCATTTGCCTTTCGGTTTCCCATTGCTGTGCAGATCAACAGCAAACCGAGATATAAATGCAGAGACATAGTAATAAAAATTATTAAAACATGATCCAAGAAATATGGAACTAAACTGGCATTTAATCACATACATTGGATAAATGCAATCTGTTCTGGAAGCCATGTGTCTAAAGTAGCTGATCTTACCTAAAGCAAAACCGAATACTCATGTCAAATTCATTAAAAAAAAAAAAAATTGTAAGAAATACTGACCAAACATCAGACATAAGCATAATTAAAATATGTGAGCATAAAGTTATGGTTTAACATCCTAAACCATCGGACAGTTGAATTAAAACTGCTAGTTATATAAAAACGACAATAAAGAGATAATTACATGTAAATGCATAAATGCAAAAACAATAATTTCAAAGGTTTTATTACGCAAAATGTTATGATTATCCTGTAAAATATAAAAATTTAAATATCTAAATTATGATTTAAACATTTTTTAACGTTAAGCATTCAAATTTCATACTCATACTATTTTTTTCTAATTTTAAGAGTTTGATGTAATACATTTCAAAATGATGAAATCTGAAGAAGATTAATTACCATTAAAGTTTATTGATTTAATTAAGTATATGCTTAAGCTAACTAAACTAAATTTAGTGTCCCAGCAATTCCTACATAACCCACCACCAGCCCTCTTTCCTTCAGTTGGATGATTCCTAAATTATTTGAGATAGAGGGAGAGCTGGAAAATTTAGCCAAGAAGACGAGAAGATAGAGAAGGAAAAGGAAAAAAAAAAAGATGAGAAGAAAAAATATCTAAAAAATAAGTGAAGAAAGAAAGATTGGAAATTCTTTCAAATCAAAGAATTATGGGGTTTCCTTGTGTTCTCCATACAAATAGGCCACCTTAATCCAGCTATGATGAATCAATTGAATGAATAAAATTATATTCACATCTTATCATGTTAAACAAGTTATATATTAGTTTTCCCAAGCTTTCATAAAATTTTAAGGATAAAAAAAATAATTATTAAGCATGTTTTGCTAGTGAAATTTAAAGAACGGATTCTAACAACTTTCTGTAGACATAATTTTACATTTTTCTCAGATGCTGTTATGATTTTAAAGTTACAAATCTGCACATATAAGATTGAGATCAAGGCAGGAATTTCATAGTTTTATCATATATTTTACTAATTTTCCATGGAATTAAAAAATAAATGCAAAAATAAACAATTTTCTACAAAATAAGAAAAGTGAACTATGTAATTCTATATAAGTTTCAAGTGAAATCGTTTGTAGGATTAGAGAAGAAATTTTATGGATATAAATTCATATAGATGTTTAAGACGAATAAGAAAAATATAAGAAATTTAATATGCCTTATATAGAAATTAGGCATATGTTTTTGGTACAAATTTTGTGGAAAAATTTTACTATTTTATTAAGAAAATCTTACAAAAATGCTAAAAAGGATCATGAATAATGTGAAAAAACTAAACATTGAAATTTACATTAAGATTTGATCAGATCGGAAAACTAATTTAATGTTTTATTCTAAGAATTATAAATTTTGTTTAGTTCGTTTTCTTGTTCTAAATTATTATTAAATTACAGTGCATTCATGAAGCATTAGTACTTGATAAATTTTAATAAAACCTGGAATTGTAAGATGCAAATTAAATAATACTCAAGTCTTCACATTATAAGATTATGTTTACTAAATATAAAAAAAAATTAAGCATAGTTTTAGAATGTACAAGTTTAATGAATTCTTAATTTTTTTTATATACGTTATAATATTTAGTCACTCTACAAATGGTTGGATGATAACAATAAAATGATATGAAAATGTTAAATTTTCTCTCTCCTATTTCTTTTAGTTGAGCGTAATTATAAGTTTTGGAAGGGGAAAAAATAATTATTCCAATAGATTTTCATCGAAAACGATTACAAGAGAAATAAAAGGGGATGACTCCTACATTAGGGAACTAATAATATCAATCATAACTCCCCATGATAAAAGAATAAAATATGAACTATGAAATACCAATAATTCGAACTTCTAGAAATAGAAAAACAAATGATATAATATACTAAAGAAAATCTTTCCCAAAATCCTTCCTAATGAAATTGGAGCAGATGGATATCTATGATGCCCAACTTGTTTACAAGGAGCTCACAATTAGGCCAGAGCAGTCATTGTTTGAATATATCCACTATTTGTTAAGCACTAGGAAAAATGGTATACAAATAGCTCCTCAATCAATCTTCTCTTTTATGAAGTATAGATCAATCTCGACATGTTTTGTGCGATCATGTTGCACTGAATTTTCTGCAATGCTTATGATTGTTTCATTGTCACAATATGACTTCATTGGCATGCTTATCGGGATTTGTAGCTCTTCAAGAATTCTTCACAATAATAAAATCTCACATGCTCCATTAGTCATAGTCATATATCCTACCTCAGTACTACTCCTTGCAATCACATTTTGTTTCTTGTTTCGCCATGTAACCAAGTTTCCCACTTATGGGTGCAATATTCAGAAGTTGATCTCGTGTCAATAACCGGTCTACCCAATCTGCATTAGTGTATGCCTATATAATCTTTTCTGTAGTACTCTAAAAGACTATGCCTTTTCCTGATGTAACTTATAGATATATGAGGATTTTGTTGATTGCTTCAAAGTGTTTCTTATAGGATGAATGCATAATTTGACTAACCAAACATATAACAAAGGCAATATCTGATCGTGAGTGTGATAAGTATATCAACTTCCCCATCAATTTTAATGCCTAATTATATTCACTGGATCACCTTCCTTCACATCATCCAGTTTCTAATTGGGATCAATTGGAGTGTCTGCAAATATACACCCACTTATAGGGCTGTGAATTTAGCTCGAAGAACGTTAACCACTCTAAAACCGATTCGAATTTTGGCTCGAATCAAAATAAATGAGCCGAGCTATGAGCATAAATTTTGGATCAATTATTTTTTTAGCCGATTCCGAGCTATACATGGATTGGCTCGAACTCACTTAAGATCAGCTCATAGTATTTTTTTTATTTTTAAAAATTACATATAATGCTAAATAAAAACAAAATATAACGAGTCGCGATCCACTTTTGAGCCAACTTCGAGCTAGAAAGGGTCCAAATAACTCAATTTGAACCGGTTAGTTTCAAGTTTGAACCGGGTAGAGTCAACTCCTAGTTGAAATGGATCCCAAAAACCCATTTTGAGCAAGCTTGTTTCGATTTCGGCTTCGAGTCGAGTCAGCTTGAAATCAAATATAACAAGTCACGAGCTGATGTCAAGTCGCAGTAAATCTATTCGAGCCAATTTCGAGCCCACCCCAGCTCAGCTCAAAATCAGATCATTAACAACGCAACCCACTCATCCAAGTTTCCTTGACAAGATGAAGAATATATTTCTATTGGGAGAACAATTCTTTTCTTCGATCGAGCAACATCCATGCCAATGAAATACCACAAAGATCCTAAGTCCTTGGTTTCAAAAATATATGATAAAGAAATCTTCAAACAGGTTCATCTCATATGCATTCGATGAGAATAATATCATCCACATAAGAAATTAGTATGATTATAATCTCTTCGTTCGAATGTCTGAAGAACATTGTATGATCTCCCTACCCTTAAGTATGTCCCTGACCTTCAAAAAATAGTAGATTTCTCAAACTATGCTTTCGGTCACTACTTCAACCCATATACAATTTTTTTTAGTTTACACACCTTTATGTCAAACTTCTCATTAAATCCAAGTGCATCCATATACACTTCTTCTTTCAAGTCCCCATTGAGGAAGACATTTTTTATATCCAACTGTTGTAGGGTTTAGTTAATATTAGCGCACAAGTGACAGAAGAACCCTTACAGAGTTTAGTTTTATGACTGGAGCGAATGTCTCTAAATAATCAATGCCATGAGTCTAAGCAAATTCTTTGGCAACTAGTTAAATCTTGTATCGTTCTAGAGAGCCATCATAATTATCATTAATTCGAAAAACACATATGTCATTTGTCATGAGCTTCTAATTCACATGTGTCATTAATTCGAATAACACATAATCCGACAGTTATCCTTTCTTTATGTAGAGCAACTAATTCACATGTGTCATTTTTGTCAAAAGCTTTCAACTCCTCGAAAATGACCTCTTTCCAACTCAAGACTTTCAGAGCATCTTGCACAATGGAATTTTCATATGCAAAAAATTGTGAGGCAAAAGCACGAAAAGTGGGTGAGAGATTTTCATATGGCACATAATAGAAAAATGGATCTTTAGTGCAATATTTTTACCCAATGGGAAGGCTAGACTTATTAAACTCGGGATTCAAACATTGAAGGCTAGAAGACTCAGAACTCAAAGATGAAGTGAACTAAATATGGGATAAAAGATTAGCTAGAAGATGAATTTGACGAAACAAGGGGTAAAGAATTAGTGTGGGCATTACCTAGGTTCGTGGATTATGGGCAGTACAAAGAATTTGTTGACCTTTTCTTTTGAGTACTCCTTTGTCACAAGTAAACAATATCAACGGTACTACTGTCATAGTTCTTATTCATGTTTTCTCTTTGTAATAAACATCATTATATAACATTGTAGAAACTTTAACATTTATAAGAATCGACGCATTCTCTCCTAAATCATTTGGGTTTTCAGGTTGAATAATCGAGATTGGTGATATACTATTTTAGGAGTCGTCGGTTTGAAGAAAATGCTGAAACTCAGTTGCCATATTTTTATTTTGGTACCCCTGGAGATGAGGTGAAAAGAAGATTGTAATTTAAAAAAATATCATATCCATGTTAACAAACATTTCTTTCAGAATTTGGAACAAAGCATTTATATCCCATTTGGTTAAGAGCATAACCAACAAATATATATTTTTTTGCTCGGGATTCAAATTTTCCTCGATTATAAAGGTGAACAAAAGTAATACACCTAAATATCTTTAGAAATACAGAAGGTGAGAGTCGATTCTTTGGAAAAAAATTTTGAAATTTTCAAAAGGTGTTCTAAAAAAGCAACTAAGTTTATCATCAAATAATAATTTATCTTTTTCTTAGCATTATCAATCATCATCCCTGTAGCCAATTCCTAAAACTAACAACAAGAGCACTGAAAGTTATCTTGACATTAATGATCAGCAATAATTTTATAATGGACAAAAAATTACATAATATATTAGTAACATAAAGAACATCACCAAAGATGTGTAAATAATGAGGAGAGCTTGACAATTCCTATAATGACAATTACTGAGAGGGAACCATCGACAATTTTGACTTTTTTTTATTGTCTACACAAGGTGAATATGAGAAAAATAATTTAGCGCAACCAGTCATGTGATAAGCTACGCCATAATTGTTTATCTAAAAATGAGAGAAATTAGTAATAAAATCTAAGAAAGCAGTAGCCAAAAAATTGCCCTTCTAATATTAAGGAGCCAAACGGAGTCAAGGACAATTTCAAAAATTGAAAAGGGATGCATTTGAGTTAGCAAACCGCTCCTGAGATTGTTCAATACTGGTTTGATGAGCTCGATCTTCAAGCTTAGATTTTGATTTCAAATTTGTAGGTTTTTCATGAAGCTTCCAACAAGTCTCCTTAATGTGTCATGATTTGTTTCCAGTGCTAGAACCATGATTTTTTTACCCTTCTTCGCCAGCATCAAACACTTTTGTCACAAGAGTTGAGCTCTCTTTTTCAATGTTTTTTCTTAGCTCTTCATGTCTAACTTCAGAAAAAACTTCTTGAATTGAGTGTAATGGTTTCCTGCCAACAATTCGACCCTAGACTTTAAAGCTAGCTAAAAACATGTAGACCCGGTTGTTTTTCTCTCTTCTTTTGGCAAGCTTTATCATTCGAATTCTCTCAAATATCAACATGACATTGATCAAGCTCCTGTTATGATGTTACCAACTCATTATAGTGCATATTAAAATCAGAGTTATTTTTTTTGGATTTCCAAAGTTGAGTTTTCAACTCAAAAATTGTGAAGAATTCTTCAAATTTGAATAGAGATCTCAAACAGCCTCCTAGATATCTCAATCAATCAGATGAAATAAAAGAATCTTTCCTATCTTTCCCATGATAGGTTCCATGCATGTCATTACTAGAGAATTTTCGGACTAACATTTTTTTAGATTCAAACCACTAGTACATTTTGAAAATTTTTCGGTTAAATACCCAATTTCAGCTGTCCTGTCAATTGTCAATTTTAAAAATTGAGCCCACTAGAGATAGTTGTGTCCATTAAGCTTAGTATATGTGAGGTAAGATGATAAATTAAGAGAAAAATATTCAACTAATACACCCAAGACAGGGGTAGTGGCAAGAGCTGAGATGGTTTCAGAATTACTAAAACTGGTTGACGAGAAAGAATTTTATTGAATTTTGGTCATCATTGCAGATTTGTATGACCTCCTCAAAGTCTAAAAAGAGTACAACAACGTCTATGGCCCACCTCCAGTGGCTACAATTACCTGTTCAAACGAATAGGTCACCGATTCGAAAAAAAGTCACCCTATTCTGGCACCAGAGAAATAGTAGGGAAA